ATTGTTGCATTTTCAATTCACTACATTACAGCAAATGTAAGAGGAGGCAAAAGAAAGAAGCAGGGGTTAAGAGTGCTATAAAGATGATGAGTAGAGAATTAAGTATAAAAGCAAGATCACAGTAAACACGACTCTGACCCTTGAGTATCTGCTATTGATGACCTAAAGAGAGAGAAGCTATGCAGTTGGTATTAACACATTCTAATATACAGTATATGGTAATTCATCATAGTGGTACAACATTTAACCTTATATTGGCAACAACAAAAACACACTATCAAATGTGATATTAAACTTGTTTTGCATCTTGACACTAATTAGGACTACCCCCATGATAATGTATTCCCTGCCACAAAGCAACAAATTAGAAAGACTACAGTTACAACATTTTACAGATTGAACTTTGTCATGAAATAACCCTGTTATGACAATTATAGAAACTTCAACAGGAACTTGATTAAACCAAATAATTCCAATGGTTTTCCATAGTAAATTGTACACATGGCTTTAAATGTAGACTATGTTTTCATACCTTTGAGGTAGCCAATGTTTTCTGTACATTTCACCATGATGAGAAACTCTTGCCAGCTTACCAGAATTCTGCTTTTGTACTTGAATGATGTCCTGTTTAGTCTTTGTCAGAGTAATCTTAGTTGGCAGTTAAGAGCCTCACTTGTTGTGGCAAATAAAACATTTAAGTGTCGGTTAAAAGTAGGAAGACACACTACTAAATCAAAACGCTTAGAACAAAACTTGCACCACTAAGGCCAAAAGTGCTTCTTTGAGGTTTGAAGACTGCTGTTAATAAAGCAACCTTTTTCGTAGCAAACAAAGGTCACACCAAAGAGGCCAATATGTCACCCTCAGTGCCACTACACACACCATCTTCTTAACAGAAAGAAAGACAAATCGTGGACAACAGACTAACATAAAATCAATCTCCTCCTTAATGGGCCATTATACAATAATTGCTCTATATTGAAGTACACTACTTATACTTACCTTATATCAGTGGTTCTCGAACTTTTTCTGTCATTCCCCACTTTGAACAGGTGGGCCTTTTCAAGCCCCACCTGTTCCTCATCGCTCCAATAAAATGGTAGGCCAAGCTTAAAATTGTCAAATGTATCGTTCTATAACAGGGGTCTCCAACCTTTTTTAGGATGAGAGCTACTTTCAAAAAATAAAACAAGTCGTGAGCTACTTTTACTCCTCTTTTTTGTTTTTTTGCAGTGTATATATTTAGCACATTTTAACATTATTATATGCTACCTTTAACCTTTGTGTGCTGTTTGGGTCTGTGGGACCCGTTTTCAGTGTTTACTAAAATAAAATATATGCAATTTAATTATTTTAACCTGCTTTATTTGGTGGTGGACATCCCATCCTCTAGGCAGGGTCCGGGGGCATGCACCCCCAGGAAGATTTTTTTTAAATGTTGAAGTTAAATGCATCAATCTGGTGCACTTTGAGCTAGGGCTGCTCAATTAAATCGTATTTTAATCGCAATTACGATTTTGGCTTGCAACGATTATGAAAACAACATAATCGAAATAAAACGATTATATTTTTTTAAAATAGGTTTTTCAGTTGAATTATACTTAAAGTTCAGGGTAATCAACTGTTAAAAACATACTTTTCAAATGATTTTCTTCAATAAATTGATGTTTTCAAAGTAAATGGTTAATCGTTTTTTTAAATCGTGATATCAATTATTGACCCAAATAATCGAGATTATGATTTTTGCCATAATCGAGCAGCCCTACTTTGAGCCCAACATGAATTTATGGATACAGCTCTCAACACTCAGATGAAAGGGAGCTGTATACTTTTCAATAATCCAAACATCTGTAGAATATGATCACAACAAATCATTTAAACTTGTTTATTCTTATCTTATGTTACCTAGTTAGCATTATTTCTTTTTATTTATGCATATTTGACTAATCCCTCCCCTTTTAAACTTTATACTGTCCTATAGTACACATTGGAATGATTTCTTACTTTAGTTTTTACAACTTTATTAAATAGATAAAGGTGTGCTCTCTCTCTCTCTTGCTCTCTCGCTCTCTCGCTCCACATTGCTTTTCTTCCCGACTGCAACGCTGTTGTGTGTGTGAGAGCGTTTCACATGTGTGTATGAGAGATTTTTACCAGTGGCGAGCCTGTCTCTGAGGGCCTAAAATATTCTACAAAATAATATTATAAAACATTAAAAAAATATACCGCACCGTTGTGACGAAAAGGGAGCTGAGCCAGAAGGCAAAGCTCTCTGTCTACCGGGCCATTTTCGTTCCTACCCTCACCTATGGTCATGAAGGATGGGTCATGACCGAAAGAACGAGATCGCGGATACAAGCGGCCGAGATGAGTTTTCTCCGCAGGGTGGCTGGTGTCTCCCTTAGGGATAAGGTGAGAAGTTCGGTCATCAGGGAGGGACTCGGAGTTGAGCCGCTCCTCCTTCGCGTCGAAAGGAGCCAGTTGAGGTGGTTGGGCACCTAGTTAGGATGCCACCTGGGCGCCTCCCTAGGGAGGTGTTCCAGGCACGTCCAGCTGGGAAGAGACCAAGGGGTAGACCTAGGACCAGGTGGAGGGATTATATATCTTCGCTGGCCTGGGAGCGCCTTGGGATCCTCCAGTCAGAGCTGGTTGATGTCGCCAGGGAAAAGAAAGTTTGGCTCTCTGCTGGAACTGCTACCCCCGCGACCCGACCACGGATAAGCGGGAGAAGATGGATGGATGGATGGATTAAAAATATTTTTTTTTTTCTTTATATATCTTTTTAGTTTTTAGTAATATTTGTCATTAGTTTTACAAATAATAACTTGATTAAATTGTATTTAAAATAACATTTCCAAAGAAATAAATCCTTTGAATCTGCCTATTCAGTTTCTGTTTGAATGTGAAGGGTTAAATGAAAGAAGCTCGTCTCTGCGAGGTGAAGACAGGAGCTGATTGGACGTCCAGCTATGAATTCACAGAGGGCCCGCTATAGTAACTGAAGAGAGAGTAATGTCAAATGACAGTACAATTGACCAATCATATCTTGCCTCTAAATGGGTGGGCTTTATTATCGCGGAATTTATGACAGGTTCCGCCCGCTGTGAAACGTTTCTTGTTTCCATAGCGACAACTGTCATCAGCGTAAACTCGCCTTCAAAATAAAAGCATGCCAAATTACACTTAAGACATACAACTGCAACGAAAGTAACAAACACAATGCAATATCCTTTTCAATTTCAAAGAACACAAATTGGGTTATTTACAGGTGTTGTTTTGTGTGGTAGAGGGTCGCTTTCATTGATGCGTTTTGCACCCCGGGCGAGCCGTTGTTTTGATATTCCACCAGTGTGAAAAAAAAATAAGAATTTTATTTTTTTTAAATAAAAATTATTTTTTTATTTTGTATTTCGTGACCCACCTATCACATCTCTGCGCCCCACACTTTGAGAAACGCTGCCTTATATGAAGATGTATCATGTAAAGAGCTTATACTAAGATACATTTAAGTGCAGTTGTAATTTATATTAAACCCCTAAGGGACTTAATGTGAAGTCTGCACACACTTCCATTCAGCCGTGACACATCAGAGGTGTCTGGTACAGGGCTAGTGTTTTTCTCCTTGGCTACCTTTGAGATTGAATCAGAGTGACCAACACTGCTGTAACTGACACTGGCTATCTGTGTCCAGCATCTCCACTACCAGCAGCCAAACCCCTAGACAGATTAAAAAAAAGTACACTGAATACAATACGGCTAAGAAATATTCAGCCCCACGATTTACACTGAGATAGTCACTTCAAGATCTATTTGTTTTGCTCCGCGTCAAAACAAGTCACTTTCTTTGGGGAATTAAAGGGAAAACAAGGTGGGTGTGTAAGACCATGACAATCAAATCTATGCAGACATACCATAGACGGCTCCTGTCAACCTGGCTCTCAAAGTGAGATTGTTCTATGTTTTAATATGACAGCTTTGATATTTGTATCTGCTTGGCAGAGCTTTCAGCATGCTGTTTGCAACAAGGGAATTCAGAAGTCCATCATGTTAGATTTGGCTCTCATGCTTTTATCGGGCTGTTTCTATGGAGGAAATGCATCAGTAAGTTTCCCTGTTGTGCCGTTGTTTTTGCCAAAAACAATCTTGTTTTTTCGCCACACAGCTGAGTTGGTTTTCTCTGTTAATCCTGCACCGCATATCAACAAGCAAGCTTTTATTTAAAAAGCAAACCTTTTATTGGATTTTCCTTCCAGATATTTTGTCTCAAACACTGGCAGGAGCTCTGTTACACAAAATCGAACTTTTACAATGACGGTACCTTAGTGAAGATGCTTTAAACTTTTTGATCAAGTTTTATCTTTGAAGATAGTGGCTCAGTGTTGTAACACAATGAGCTCCATGTGAGTGTAGATCTCAGTCCAAAGACATGCGAGCCAAGTGGTTTTGGACAGCAAGGGTATAAAGTGAACATCTGCGTCTATGAAACACTGGGAAAGTTGCCAGTCTACCACGGTCTGTTTGACTCGGCCTTCTCTCAGGTGCATGCGGGGATAGCTTTAACCTTGTGATCCTGAGAGGAAATAAGTGGTACAGACATTACGAATGAATCCTTTATTACGTTTCATTAGGGATTGTATTTGTCTGTAAAGTAAAGAGAAAATGTCTTTATTTTACTTGAAAAAGATCAAACACAATGGTCACATTAAGTGAAGAATATTTGTATAGCCATTACAAGCCTTTAATCACAGCTAGAGTCTCAAAGTGCTCCAGAGGACTTTAGCACTCCCACATTATGAAAGGGTAAATTAAACTGAAAAATGAATCGACTGCCCGCTATCCTAAGGCTCTCGTTGAGAAAAAAAGATCCTATGAAGTGGAATTGCAACTGGTGACTCATCTGAGCCTGCTGTGTGTGTCAGACGAGCCTCACAAGGGTAATGTGTTGCTTTCACTTCCCTTTGTGTACTCACGCTCCCCCCTCTCTTCTTCTCTGTCTCCAGGTGCAGCAGGATGCAGGGCGCTCTGCCTGGGTGTGGACTGCAGCCCCTGCTGGCCCTCCTTCTGCTTCAAACTGTGGGCTGTGGTGAGTCCTCATCAAACTGTAGGCAGTCCTGTCACCTGGCTGACTGTGTACAGTTCATAACTCTGTATAATCATCTGCACCGAGTCCCCGACACACCTTTTACCAATCTCTCTGTTGCAAAGGAGCCTATTAACACTTTCTGGTTTTAAAGGTCACCTATTATACAAAAAACACTTTTTCCTGTCTTTTATACATAAACATGTGCCCTCTCTGTGTAAAGAGATTCTGAGAGATTCTGAGAGTTTCAGGAAAAAAGATTCGCTCACTTTGTGTCCTGATCCATTTATATAAAAAACCTGTCTGAAAATGAGCTGATCAGATTTTGGCCACTTTATGATGTCATAACGATTTTTTGTGGCTTGTGTAAAAATTAGCCAATAACTAACCAAGGTAACCCCCCCCCCCCCCCCCCACCTTATCACCTGAATCTCCTCCTACAGCACCATTGTGTTCTTCTTAACCAAATATCAGAGGGGCGTTGAGAGTGGCTCCTTATTTTCATCTAAAGTAACAGACCCAGAATCAGCACTTTTGAAATGGGGCTGAAACAGAGGGGATTATGGGATGCTACAATGCTTGATGTGTTTAGTATTTCGAGCCAAACACTTCAGAGACATGTTTTGTATATATCTGAGACCTTTAATATATTGATGAAAAACAGTATAATAGGGCACCTTTAAAGAGTGGTGCAGGAATGATTTACTACTACCAGTTCCCCCAATGTCAAAGTCAACAGTACTTTGAACCTGTGTGGGTCAAATCCCTAAAAGAAGGTCTTTGGTTAATACTATTTTAAAGGATTTTCCAATTTGTTTTACGACTAAAAACACTTCAGTAAATACCCCTTTCAGGAATATCCGACGCTTCTATTATGTGTCATAAAAACAGCTGGTGCTTACAAGTTACTAAATTACACAAACACTAATTGTTTAGGTTAGCGGTGCTGATGCACAGCCATTCAAACGTTATGTAGTTTGTTTATAGCCCAACATCAGTGTTTCACTTCAGGCAATTGCAATTACACTTAAGAAATCATAAAAGTGTTGTTTTGTGGTGATTATCCTGCTGAACAAAACATGTAAGTATCATAAAGGTGTTTTCACCACAGATCTTTTTTTCAACAATAAGATGCTTACTTTTGGCGTCGGCCTACAATATTACGTCATCACTGCACCGCTCTAGTGCCTCAGATATATCGGATTCTGTATTTGGCCAATAAGCCACATGATTCATAGTTATAGTAAGTACTGCTACAAATCAAATGAAAATGTATGTGAAACTTAATTATGCATTTAAAAGCAGATCATAATGTTGCTCTCCTTCAAAACACCCTCTTGAGGTTAACACTGAGTTTGTATCCACCTTCTGTCACACACCCTCTTCAATGCACAGAATGTGATAAATGATGTCCGCGGTGTAATTAAACTGGGATGGATATATCTGCCTAAAAATCTGGTTGTGGAGCATGTAGGGAAGCAGACTGTATGAGAGGCAGAGTGATGTGTGATAAAGGTAATCATGGATGTCTTTCCAATTAAAGATAAGCCAAATAACCTTCTGGAGGCCCAACAGTAAGTCGTAATCCACCTTTTTTATAATATCTTGTGAAAACGTAATCAAACTGTTGTATTCACACTGAATAATTCAAGTCTCATGTATCCATTTGCAAGTTTGGTATGCTCTTCAAAGGTCAAAACTGCTTCAGCAACCGTCACCGGATTAAGAACAATGTTGCTGTGGTAACAAGGTATTTTAATGAGACCACAAGCTGAAACACTTTTTTTTTATCTCACATTGAAGTTTTGCTGCTCCTCCTAATACCTTTCCCTGCACCTTTGTATTAGTGTTGATGATGTTGTGAGAAAGATCCTGATCTTGCTGTACAGTATGTTCTAACGCTCATGTCTTTTTCATTACAATATTGACAACAAACTGTGAAGTACATCTACTGAATCACTACACATGTGTATATTTTGTATGTACTTGAACTTCAGTATTGCCATATTTTGCCAATTTCAGGAAATATTGTACATTTTAATCCACAACATTAATTTGCCAGGTGAAGTTCCTACTTTTCATATTAAACTATTACATCAGAAACTTATGATACAACAAGATAACATACCAAAGATATCTCCCCACTGAACCTCTCAAATCTGGTTTCATTTAAATAACTGTTTGAGGCAAAGAGCATAAACATTACATAATAAAAGTCCAAAGGCATTATCCCTATTCTGGGAACCACTGAAGTCAACTTTCTAACTGTATATAAAATAGATACATTAGACACAGTGGCAATGTATCTGCTAAATGAGCGGATAATACTAGTATTTTTAGTAGGATATACAATGCAGGTATTTTACTTGTAATAAGTATTTTTACTATTTAATTGTGGTACTTACTAAAGTAAAGGATCTTCTTCTAACACTGCAATTACCACACTTCTGTAAACATTCCTCATGCCAGATTCTGTCTTTCTCACTGGCAATATTATATGTAACACTTGCCAACACTACATGGTCCAATAGAGGGGAACAAAACTATATTCCTGAGTGAGTGAAAGCCAGTTTAGCAGAATGAATGCAACACCTAGCCAGCCTAGCCCGCAGCAGTAGCTAGTGTTGTGAGAATAACTTGTTAGATCTTCTCAGTCGCGTTAATAATTCCTTAGTCCGTCCGTTTCTCATTTATTTCTGTTTCTCTCTTTAACAGTGCTCATATCTTACAACTTGTCAGACCTTCACAGCTTATCCACCAGCCCATTTATTCTTCCACTTATCTCGTAATTGGAACAGCACTTCCAAAAATAGTCGAAAACACGAGTATAAAGACAAATAACTAATCTGAGATCTCCCAAGGCTAACATTCATCCTCTTAGCCAGGGAAATACATTGTCAATTTCGTAAAATATAAATACATTTATTTCTAATGTATATTTTGCAGTGCTCATTAAAAATTGCTTTGATTTGGCTGATAAACTGGACTTTAGGATCTTAATCCTGTCATTATATTTCAGCAAGTTATCCAAACTCTGGGGAGAGATGTGACATTCTGCATCTGTTTGGACAATCATTTTACTGACCTTTTTAAACCCACAATTTAGCTGAGAGAAGGACAGTAGGACTGGGGAAGATGTAAGGGGCTTCATTAAAAGAGAGGGGTTAAGACTATAGGGTCATACATTGACTTACACAGAAACTTTGGTAATCTGTATGTGTCGCTCAACGACCTCCGTATATTTCTATTTGGTAGTTTTTTTGGTCTATTTTACAAAACTCAGTAGGGAAATGTATGCAATACAAGAATTCACATCCCTGAATCTTATGTAGCCTTTTCTACTCTCCTCATATTCTTCTGCTTTTTCATCTGTGGGTATAAGCCTGTGTTTGTGTGTTTGTTGGACAGCCTGCTCTGTGTTCTTTGTGGCCTCCCTGACCGTCTGCTCCTCTCTGTATTGTCTTGTTTCTGAGAGGTAACAGACCTGGCACCGGGGTCTTTCAGTGACTCAGGGCTCAGATTCTCAGGCGAAGTGATGATGAAAATGGAGCCAATCTCTCTGTCTTTCTGTGTGTTTTGTGTCTGTATGCGGAAACCCTCAGGTTACATCTGCCAGGTATTTTATGCAGCCAACTTCTGAGTGTGATGACTATAGCTCACACACACACACACACACACACACACACACACACACACACACACACACACACACACACACACACACACACACACACACACACACACACACACACACACACACACACACACACACACACACACACACACACACACACACACACACACAGCATCTCTGAGGAGCCTAATAACACACTCACATGTGCCTCTGAGAGGGGATATGTCATGTAAATAGACCTTCCCTGCCTCTGCTTCAGGAGAGTTTTTGAGGGCATAATGTCTCCTGTTCTTGCTGCCGTTCTCTCCATTCCTTCATTTTGTGTTTCTCGGCTGAGTGACTCTAGATATAGTCAATGGGAGGTAAAGGACTACAGGGCGGATTGGCACTAATGCTCACCCTGTGACACTTTGCTTGACAGCCCACAGATTGGAAAGAGGGTGGGATGAGGTGGAGGAGGACAGATTAGGGATGAGATTTTTGTGTGTGTGTGTGTGTGTGTGTGTGTGTGTGTGTGTGTGTGTGTGTGTGTGTGTGTGTGTGTGTGTGTGTGTGTGTGTGTGTGTGTGTGTGTGTGTGTGTGTGTGTGTGTGTGTGTGTGTGTGTGTGTGTGTGTGTGTGTGTGTGTGTGTGTGTGTGTGTGTGTGTGTGTGTGTGTGTGTGTGTGTGTGTGTGTGTGTGTGTGTGTGTGTGTGTGTGTGTGTGTTGATGATAGTGATGCACTTTTCTACAAGCACTCCTGTGCGTGTATCTCTGTTTATGAATTTAAAAATGTTGGCTCTGTGCCACACAAGATAAATGTATCTGTATGCTTTAGACGCTGCAGAATTAGTCACGGCAGCAGCCTGCGGGGAGTTCCTGTGAAGCCTGACATGGCCGGGTGCAGGAGTCAGCTCAGACAGAAAGAGCTGCAGGGGGATGGCTAGTATTTGTCATCAAGAGAGGACGGAGAGACAACCGGAGGCAGTTTGGGTCGAAAGGGATGATTGCAGTGTGCAGCAAGTGTAAAGAAATTGAGACATTTGGAAAACACCTACATCAAAGAGCCAGGTGAAGCGCAGATGTTACTGTGACCCCTTATGTTGATTTCGTTTTTAGTAAGCCTTTTGCTTAAAAAAAAAACATTGATAATAATATATGAGTTTTGATATATTTATTTCCGTTATAAAGTAGATTAATACAGCCTCGAGAAACACAGTTTTTGCCGAAGTTGAATTTACATTGTGATGAGATTCAGTGGCTAGACTTTAACCTATGTCTCGGTTTTGAAACTTGCACCCAAAGCGTCACATTTTGTTGACGCAGTGATTCTCATTTGGCCAAAAACTACGGGAAGGTTTAGATGGCTGACATTTTTCTTGCACTAATT